TAAAAAAATGGGCAAAGTATTTGAATTAACCCTTCACTAATGAAGATATATGAGGAAAAATATACAAATGAAAAGCTGGTCAATATCATTAGTTGTTAGGTAAACATAATTTACAACTACAGTGACATACCATTACAATATCTAAAATTAAGAGAATTGATTATACCACATTTGTGTCAGTGAAGATGTGAAGAAAGCAGGACTTTGATAATGCTTGGAGGGAATACACTATGGTTCAATGGTACAACTATATTGGAAAACAGTTCAGCAGTCTTAAAACATTGAACATACCTACCATATCATCTGGACATTCCACCTTTAGATATTTACCCAAGAGAAATAAAAGTGAATATACATATAGGATCTGCACACAAATGTTTGTAGCAGCTTTATTTGTAACAGCCCAAAGCTAAAAACAACCCAAATATTCAAGAGAATGAAGAAATTGTATTATATCCATGTATTCTACAACATGAATATATCTCAAAATCATTATGTTGAATGAAAGAAAGCAGACCAAAAAAGAGTACATACATATTATGTCACTTATATAAAACGTAGAAAATGCAGTTTAATCTGTAGTGAAAAAGTTAATCAATAGAGTGGAGAGGAAAGATGGGAACATGATTACAAAGAGGCACAAGAAAACATTTGACGGATATGTTCAGTAACTGGATTGTGGTGATGTTTTCACTGTACATATGCTAGAACATATCAAATTGCACCTTTTAACGTGTACAGTTTATTGTATTAATTATACCTCAGTATAGTTGTTAAATTTTTTTCTTGTGAAGTCTTCTTTGAAAAACAGTGTATCTATCATCACTTAAAAATGCACAGAAAAACTGTATTTTCAGTGGTAACTAAAGTATAAAGATACATAGATATGAAGACAGGGCCCTAGCTAACGTCATACTAAGTGGTAAAAAATTAAAAGCCTTTCCTTCAAGATCAGGAATATGACAAGAATGCCCACTCTCACCATTTCTATCATGTTAACATAGTGCTAGAAATACCATAGCCATAGCTACATAGAAATACTAGCCATAGCCATAGCAACTAGGTATCCAAATCAGAAAAGGAAGAAGTAAAATTATTTCTCTGTGTAGATGATATGTCTAATATATGGAAAACCCTAAATCTTCCACCAGAAGTTGTTACAACAAATACATTAATTCAGTAAATTTGCAAGATACAATTCTACATACACAAATCACTTGTGTTTCTACACACTAACAATGACCTATCTGAAAGAGAAATTTAAAGCAATCCTATTTACAACAGCATCAAAGGCCAGAAAATACTTGGAATTATAGTTAACCAACTAGGTGAAAGACTTGAACACTGAGAACCATAAGACATTGATGAAAGGGGTTGAAGAAGGCAGAAATAAATGAAAAGATATCTTGTGATCTTGGATTGGAAGAATTAATACTGAAAATCTCCATACTACTCAAAGTGATGTACAGATTCAGTGCAATCCCTATCAAAATTCCAATGGCATTTTTCATAGGAAAAAAAGTTATCCTATCCCCAAGTAGCTGAAAGAATCCTGAGAAAGAACAAAGCTGGAGGCATCTCATTTCGTGATTCAAGCTATATTACACAAAGCTATAGTGATCAAAACTGTATGGTAATGGCAAAACAAAAACAAAAAGTTACATAAAATTGGTAGAGCAGAAAGAACAGAGTCCAGATATAAATCAAATCACATGTGGTCAATTAATTTGTGACAAGATCACTAAGAACACACAATGAGGAAAGGATAGTCTCTTTAATAAATGGTCTTGGGAAAACTGGATATCCCTAGCAAAGGAATGAAACTGGACCCCTATCTTATACCACTCACAAAAATTAATTAAAAATGGATCAAAGATTCCAATGTAAGACCTGAAACCATAAAATTCCTAGAAGAAAACATAAGGGAAAAATCATTTGCATTGTTTTGGCTGTGAATTCTTGAATAAGACACTGGAAGCACAGGCAACAGAAACAAAATAAACAAATGAGACTATATCAAACAAAAAGCTTTGGCACAAAAAAGAAAACAATCAATACATTGAAAAGGTAGCCTACAAAATGGAAAAAAAATATTTGCAAAATATATATTGGATAAAGGAGTAACATACACAAAATGTATAAAAACTCATACAAAAAATCCCTACAAATAAATTAAAAATGGGTGAAGGACCTGAATAGACATTTTTTCCAAAGAAGATATTCAAATTGGCCAAATGATCCATATAAAAAGGTGTTCAATATCACCAGTCGTCAGGGAAATACATACCAAAAGCACAATGAGGCACTACATAACTGTTAGAATGGCTACTATTAAAAAGTTAAGACATAGGGAGCAACTGGCTGGCTCATCTGGTGAGCCTATGAGCGACTCTTGATCTCGGAGTTGTGAGTTCAAGCCCCATGTCAGGCATAGAGGTTGCTGTGTGTGTGTGTGTGTGTGTGTGTGTGTGTGTGTATGTGTAAGAAATAGCAAATGCTAGCAAGGATGAGGAGAAAAGGTAACCCTTACACGGTGGTGGCAGGAATGGGTAAATGGGTATAACCATGATGGAAAACAATATGGAAGTTCCTCAAGAAATTAAAAATAGAATTACCATACGATCTAGCAATATATCTCTTGAGTATACATCCAAAGGAAATGAAATCAGTATCTCAAATGTCTACATGTCCATGTTCCTTTCAGCATTCATTCACAATAGCCAAGATACAGAAAGAATATAAATGTCTTTCAATGGATAAATAAAGAAAACGTGACATATATATTAAATGTGATATATTACATATAAATATATATAATGAAATATTATTCAGCCATTAAAAAAGAGAGGAACTCTGCCATTTGCAACCACATGGATTAGCCTGGAGGGCATTATGCTAAGTAAAATGATCCAGACAGAGAAAGGTAAATCCTACAATGTATCACCTATTTTGTGAAATCTTAAAAACAATAATAAAAAAGGCCAATTTCATAGAAACAGAGAATATAATGGTGGTAGATAAGGGCTCAGAAAAGGAGGAAATGGGGTGATGTAGGTCAAAGGTTACAAATTTTCAGTTATAATAAATTCTCATGACCTAATGTATGGAATAGTAACTATAGTTAATAGAATAATGCCATATGCTATATACTCGAAGCTGCTGAGAGTAGATCTTTGGCATTCTCACCACATACATAAACGCATAAAAGAGTTAACTATGTGAGGTGATAGATATGCTCATTATCTTGATCTTGCTCATCATTCCATAATATATATTTATATCAAAACCTCATATTATGCATTTTAAATATATACAATAACATTTGTCAATTATTCCTCAAGTTAAAAAAAAAAAAGATACAAGTCAGCCAGTACCCCTTAAGATAGTGTTCCTGAGCACTGCGGCACAGTCTGCTCATTTCTCTTATTTATAAGTTGGCAAGACTCTGTACCAAACTGTAGAAAGGTTAAAATAATAAGCATTATATTTTCACTTATTCCTACTATTTTGACTCTCAAACATCCTAAAAACATTTGAAATTCTCAAATACATGGGATCTGTAATAGACGTTACCTGTGTGTAAATACATCCATAATGTATTTTACCAAGGTGATATTTTCTTGATCATTATTAATGTTGAGGTAAAATTAGCATTTACAAATAGTTTTACAGAATCATTGATAGGTAGAAATTAAGTCCAGGCAAGTCTCCAAACTCATCGCAAGCTATCTTAATAATATTTTTCTATGTTTTTTCTAACTCACAGCCCATTTCCATATGCCAAGAAGAAGGGAAGAATCATATCTTCTGCATTATATTTTAGGAATCAATACAGTTGAAGAAACTGAATGTACATCCAACAAAATATGGCCCCCAAAACCTCGTATATAAAAATTAATATATTTTTAAATTTTTGACATTTTATAAAAATACATTAATATATATTTTTAAAATGGTTCTATATTTCCACTTATTTTTCCAAATCATCAAAACGTCTTTATAGTCAATGCCATAATGAAAGATTTGAAAAGATATTTTCTAAGACAATTAGAATCTTTACATATTACAGCATATAATATTAACTAATAATCATTGACATAGTAATTTCCTGAGTGCAAAACAAAATATCCAATTAGTGTACCAAGGAATTCTGATCAATCGTTATATGAGCTCTCGTTGTAAATAGGAATATTTCAGGGAAAATATTAACAACAGCTTTTAAAATCTTTAAATATTATTAAATCAATAAAATACATGGAAATCCCAGTAAATAAAATTCAATCTACACCAAAGATGAACTAGACTTTAACACTATTTTAACAATTACTAAGTGACTACTAAGTATTAAACAAAGATATGTACCTTCTTGTATTAAATCAGAACTAAAGGATAGATATATAAGGAAAAATTTTAATCCACATTAACAATGGGAAAAAGTTCAAAGTCTGTCTTATTTCTGTGTCTAGTAATTGGTCCAAAATCTTTGTCAGTCATAGTCTAGTCTTTAAAATTTCATCTATCATGATTATTATCCAAGAAAGATGTTTAATTCCCTAAATTTCCTTAAATAATGTTTATAAAATGCATATGTCACTGCCTACACCGATTTGCATCAGCCTACCAAAATAAGTAAGTATTTAAGGGGCACTAATGACAAATAATTTGTCACTTACAAAGGTCACCTCTCTTATTAGTAATAATGAAAACTGGCATTTACACATCATTTGTACAGAAATTTCATATTGGGTCTCCAAACATTTATTCATTAATACTTCCAACATTTCTATGCACTATTTGGCAAACATTCATCTCCATTTCACTGATTTATAAAACAAAACTCTAACTCATAAAATGACATGAACCTAGAGACTCCATTTTCTAACTCAGTCCATTTCTATATGCCAGGAAGAAAAGAAGAATAAATCTAGCATGAAATAGTTTGGCTACCTCAGGACAGTGAGATATCCAATTGGTGGCGCTGGGGTCTTATCTATTCCCACCTTTTTATAGGCGATCCAGTCAAACACCCTGTCAATATCTGTTGCCTGTAGCACTTCCTGTGATACTGGATGGGAACTGGCCAAGCCGTCAAGCAGCATCACTTCATGCAGAACATCCGTCAGAAATCTCTGTTTTTCCTGCAATACAGTAGATGGGGCAATATCATAGGTGATTCGTGGTTATGACAGAATGTGTGTGACAACATGAACAGAACATGTGTTACATAATGGATGATGTTCATCAGCCTACATGGTGAGACTGAACTCCAAAGAGAACCCAGTGAGTAAAATGTCTCTTAAATTACTCTAAAATGAGAGTGTTTGATTTGAGCACAACGTGAAACAAAAATCAATGGGCTACAATGGGCCCTAAATAGATTTAAAAAAAAAAAATAGTGGACTATTATTTAACAAGGTTTAAAGCAAATTCAGACAGTGGGCACATAAATGAAACAGACTAAGCTTGTTGGTGTGTTCTACAGGATGAAGACTACAGTTCCAGTCCCAAATAACCTTTGTAGTGAAGTTCAATATAAGAATAATAACTAGATTTCAGAGTTCCAGTGCTATTTTGCTATTTACACTATTTATTTGTAGTCTCATCTCAGCAGATCATTCTCTCTCTCTCTCTCTCTCTCTCTCTCTCATTCTCCCACTTTCCTCCTTCCACTCCCCCAATCTAATTTTCTCTGTAATGCACACACATACACCACACCACACATACCACATTTATTCTGTGGAAGAATTTCAGCAGACTACAACCAATAACAAAAGGCATATTGACAAAAAAAAACCTATGATATTTGTAGGTATGAATGCGAATTCACAATAATGAACATAAAGTGGAAATCAATAGGTATTAATAACCCATTACTATAAAGTTGTGAAAACAAACAAAGTCATAAGATTTCTATTCTGTGTGATGTTGAGGGCTTTGTATTTGCTCTCATAAAAGCTGATTTGTTATATTAGAAATAAACTGTAAAGGAAAAGTACTTCTCTCTTACTTTTGTTTTAAGAAGCCTGCTTTAGAGAAACAGCTTGGGTTTTGTTAACAAAAATGCTGGCAGCTATTAGTTCTTCTGGCCTCCTGCCTTCATTGAGGGAGGAGGGAAAGAAAAAAGAAATTGCAAGAGATAACAAGGGCTAAATAGCCCCTAGATAGTTGGGACCTGAGGAGTATCATTACAGAGATTAAAGACTGCAACATTTAAATTGCTATAGCTAATTCTAAACTCACTCCTGGAGCTTCCTACTTTTGAGCCAGCAGATGAACTGCATGTTATTTCTGAGTGAGTTGTAATTTCAAGCTGAGAGTACACCAATCCTGGATTTAAAAAAAAAAAAGGAAATGGAGAATAAGTATGATCTTTTAAAAAGGAATAGTTAACTCAGTATATAAATTGACTTAAATCTGGCTCTAAAGAAGCCAGACTAATAATCTTCATCATTATCAGTTCAATGATTTAGTATGTTTAACTAATAATTTAATTAATTATCAAGCCAACTATATACTATTAGGTTTATTTCTAATCGCGTACTTTTATAGTCTGTGGACCATAGATCTAATTTCTTTAGTCCTTTTTTGGTCCGAGAGTATCTCATCAATGTTTTATATTCCATCAAAATTAACCTGGGACTGAAATGGTCCCAGAAGTCTGCTTCAGACTCTATGAGCCCATGGTGAGTTCAAACTTAAAATGAATTGACAAATATGACATAAACCAATACTGTATTTCTTCTCAAATTAAGTTCATAATTGAAGACAAAATTAAGGAGAGTGAAGTTGGACTTTGTGATTTAAAATTTTAGTGGGGCACCTGGGTAGCTCAGTCACTTAAGCGTTCCACTTCGGCTCATGATCTAGAGGTCTGTGAGTTCAAGCCCCACATTGGGATCTGTGCTGACATCTCAGAGCCTGGAACCTGCTTCAGATTCTGTGTCTCCCTGTCTGTCTGTCTCTCCCCTGCGCACTCTCTCTCTCTCTCAAATATAAATTAAAAAGATTTTTAATATAAAATTTTAAAATAAAATGATTGATATTTATTTTATTTTAGGTACACTACAAAATAAAGATAAGATCTCAAACAGATGGCCTAGATTGAGAGAGTATGAGAAAATCATGTATTTCCAAAATTAAAATGTTAATGTAACTTTTAAGTAGGTATGCAATCTTGTTACTCATTCAATTTAAAAACGCACATTAAAACTATTTAATAATGGCATTAATGGGGTGGGGAGGATATCTGAACTTCACCAATGAACACTTTTATTTACAAGAAATATCATTTGAAGATGTGATTTCCATTCTGAAGAAAAAATATATAACTCTTTAAATAGTGATTGCCCACTCCATATGTAACTCAAACATCTGATCGAAATCACAGTGTAAAATGAACTCAAAATGGTGTTTTATCTGAATCCTAATTTTTACTATTTAGCACCAATACACATATATTGATCAATATGAAAATTTAGTACACATATCCTGGTTGGCTAACAATATGATTTTTAAGTGATATAAATCAATTAATTACAAGTAGTTACAAGTTAATTACAAATAATGATATAAAGCAAGTAATTACTAAAATGATACCTAAGGTAAATTTCTAAAATGAAACTCTCTTATTTAAGGAAATATAAGTTATATGTGATATGTTGCTTCATGCTTCTGGAGGAAAACAAAAACAAACCTTTGCCTCCTCAGTAGGATTTCAAGAAACCGTGCTTAAGTTTAATAATGTCAAATCATTATCAAAGTTGTTGGAGACAATGATATTGTATAACTGAGGGAAAAAGACATTAAAAGAGATTAAAACGGAGGAGAAAAAAATAAAAAAGACACAGACAAACACTCACCAAATTTAGAAGAGAGAACACCTTAAACTGAGGAAGAAAAAAGAAAATTCTAGCCAGAGGCAAACCCAATTTAACAAAACTACAAAGAGTTTCCAGGAGAGAAGGTGCTAAGTTTTTTATAAAAACTTGTGTCACTTTAAAATTAAAAAATGATCTTAGCTTGTCAGTCCCCTGCTGGGGTGCTCTTCCCCCTCGACCAGGCTCAACAATAATAATAACAGTAACGATTACAAAGCATTGATTAATTGCTTACTGTCAACCTGAGACCATTAAAATTTCAAAATAAAGTTAAAGAAATCCTGGCTGTAATATGAGATAAGAGATCAAGCAAAATAGTTGGATTCCATGAACAAAATAGTGGTTTTCTCTTACAGACTAGAAATGCCAAAGGAAATTTGAAGGAAAAAAATACTGTAAAATGGAATTTTTTATGCAAAGTTTAATGGAAGACGTAGAATTTGTTCTGATCTTTGAAGGAGTTTTAAAGGTGTGTGTGTGTGTGTGTGTGCGTGTGTGTGTGTGTAGAGGGAATAATATATTTATTGTGGGTATTTAACAGTTAGCTTTTATTCTAGTTCTTATACTAAGGTCACCATGAAAAGCTATTTTACCAGTTTCAAAAAGCAGCACAATAAGGTAAAGTGTGGAACTTTAAAATCTGTTTAAGTAAGTTTAATGTTAATAAGAATAAATCCTATCAGCCTAGTATAGACCCTCCTTGGAGTTTTTACATATGTGTCTACATTTAAACAGTTAAAATTATATTGAATATACCATTTTCTATTGAACTGTTTCCAAAAATATATTACATTTGAATTTTTGGAGAATAGTGCAAAGGTTTTTCAGATAGGTAAGGAAAATGTGAATAAACAGAGAATAACACATGGGAAAAAGGAAAATTTCCAATATTTTGCTCATTCATTTAACAAATATATATTAAATTCCTACTCTTTGCCAGATATTGTGCTGTGTCTGGGGAAGAAATAGATGACTTAAACTTAGTTTCTAACCTTAAAGAACTCAAAAGTGTAAGAGAAAGACAGATAAACAGCTAACTGTATTATAATATGATGGATGTTATAAAACACAAAGGATGAAATGATTAATTAGTTCAGAAAAGGCTTCACAGAGGAAGTGACATTAAAGTGGTTAGTTGAAGGATGAAGGGTTACTTAGATGAATGGGGATGCAGCTTTTAAAAAAAGGGCAAATCCAGGCATAGAAAACATGAAAAAAGCTACTCTGTGAATCTTCAGTTACCAGGTGGAAGAGTTTGGTCTTAATAAATAGGCTGTAGCAGGCATAATAACATAATAAAAGTAGTGTCTTGGGAAAATTAACTTATCTGTGGTATACAAGGCAGCTTGGTGTCTGCAGAAACAGGCAGAAGGTGGCTATTGTACTCAGAAGTGATGTGGTGATGATGTATTACAAGGTGCTGCTGAAGAGCTGTTGTATCTGAGACATATTTTGAATGAAAAATCAACCAACATTGATGTCTTGATGCCCTGGTCCCCTTACTGGATGATGGAGGTGAAGTATTAAGAGATAACTACATAGCTTTTAGACTTGATGGAATTATTAAAGGATGGGGGGTGTAGCTACTGAAAGAAATGGAGTAGTAGGGAAAAGTTTGCTTTTGTAGGGCAAGATAAAAAGATCACTTTTGACATTTTACAAGTAATATGATGGCAAACATGCCACAGGCAACTTGAAGTAAAGGCCTGGGTCTAAGGGGCAAGTGCTAAACAACTTTTGGCAATACATTGTAGTTTCTATGAAAATATAAATAAAATCTCAGAAGGAATCTACTCTTTTTTTAAATTAAGTCTTACATTTTAGCATTTCATAGACTGGTATTTAGTAATATATGTAAAGGGAGTTATTAAGAATTCTTATCACAGTGTTAGATACAATTATATTCCTTAACATCTCAAAAAAGCTTCTGCCTGTACATGCCAAATTCTCAAGGGTTAACAGTGAATATGCCTGGTCTAGCCATGGTCCAGCCACCAGCATGGTGATAAGTGGGAAAACAGGAAGTACTACTGAAAGATAGAGATGTCTGCAAGTTTCTACAGGAAGTCTTAGTAATTTCAGTAAAGAACAATAAAAGACAGACACTTTGACTCTGTCACCAAGGAAGGAAAAAAATCAGAATAATCTGAATCAAGCTGAAAGAAAATCAGACACATCAAACCAGACTAAGATGATAGCAAAGATTGAACCAATTCAAGCAGTGGTGAGGTGCTCATAGTCATGAAAAGAGCAGGAGAAAC